TTCACGTTATGGAATTCCACGAAGTTGACACATTTTCAAGAGCACGTCCCACCCGTAGCGCTGTAGTATCCTGTACTGTAAACAAAAGAGAAACTTGAGCGGGAAAGAAAGTTTGGAAGTGCATCTGGCCTAGCTAATCCAATATAAGAACTTGTGGGTCCTCCGGCCTTCCTCACTTTCCACATGGTCGCCCAAGTTGGACAAACTTGCTGTAATTTCCAGAAAAAGTTTTTAACCCGTCCGTCTTGATATGTCTTGCTTGCGAGACTTTCAGGACAATCCTTCTGAGCGGTATACATACTGGGTCTGAGATTGTTATGCCGATGACTGTGAATAATATTGCCTTCTGGGACGTAATGTTCCCCAACGTTTCGGATAAACGTTCTGCTTCAGTTCTCAGGGCCAAACGGCGAGTAAGTAACAAACAATGTCCACACTTCGTCTTCGTTGTTCCTTAGCATACATTAAAAATACAAGACGGAATCGATTCAAAAGTTTTCTAAAACAGTCACTGTACTCCTTTTGTGGAATCGCAATTAAAACTCCGATAGATTCTCTTTGGATGTCCTGGATGGTGTCGTGACGGTCTCCTTTCATCGCCAAATTAACTTTTGGGAACAACCAGAAATCTGCTGGAGCCAAATCTGGCGAATACGGAGGATGATCAAGGCCTGTGATCCATTCTCTGGCCAAAAAATCGCGCACGATCATCGATTTGTGGGGTTGGGAATTGTCGTGAAGGAGCGACCAGGAAATTTGCTCCCGTTATTCAGGTCGAATTCGAAGAATTCTCGCCCACAAACGATTTAGGACTCCGAGATAATAATCAGAATTCACTGTTTGACCTTCTGGCAGAAATTCCTTGTGAATGATTCCTTTGAAATCGAAGAAAACGGTTAGCAGTGTCTTTACTCGACTCTTTTGCATGCGCACTTTCTTTGGGCTCAACCACGCTGCACTCTGCCGCTTTGTGAGAGGCTCATATTGAAAATACCATGTCTCGTCATCAGTAACAATCGATTTTGTATCACTTTGGGCCGACCGTAACATGTCTTTGCAATGTTCCACTCTGGCAAGTTTTTCATCGCCTGACAGCGCGTGCGGTAAAAACCGCGCACAGACCTTCCGTTTGCCCAAATCCTCGGTCAAAATTTGATACACAGCACTTTTTGGTATTCCCAAAAGCTCCTCGATGAGACTTGCAGAAACACATCTGTCTGATGCAAGGATTTCGGTACTTTTTTTTTTCACATTTTCTTCAGTGTGACTTGTTCTCGGCTTTGATGCACATGGAGCGTCTTCAATGTCCTCCCTGCCGTCACGAAATACAGCATGCCATCGAAAAATGTTCGAGCGACTCAAGCAATCACTACCGTACACACTTTTCATCATTTCGTACGTTTCTCCAGTTGTTTTTCCTAACTTCAAACAAAATTTGATGTTGGCTCTCTGTTCAACCGCCATTTTCCGACGAGCGTCAGAACAGTACTGTTACATTCAAGGTTAGAACACATGATGCAGCGATGCTTGCGCTTTGAAAATATAGACAGCCACAGCTGAAGCTTCAGGAATCTTAACGATACAACTCACCAACAGATGGAATTGCAGGGGAAATTAAAAAAAAAGAGTCCTAACGGATCCTGGACACACCGTGTATATTCGGCCATGAAAGTGTAGGAAGCACGTTCCTCCGAAACGTCGGTAACCACCGCACTACGTGGTGACTCTCCAGAATTAGTGTAATTCACGGATAACGGGAGAGTGAAGTCGAGGAATGCTTGCTGCAATTCAATTCAGAATATTTCTTCTTCTTATTTGGTGTGTAATAGCACATATATGAAATAATCAACATACTTTTACCTCTTGTTCTATAGGGAAGCGAAATTTGTCTGTGGCCCTGAGAAAGGAACACAGGGTAAGGGTGTTTGAGAACAGGATGCTGAGGAGGGGAGGAAGTGACTGGAGGATGAACAAACTGCATAATGAGGGGTTTCATAACTTGGTACTCTTCAGCAGGTATCATTACGGTGGTTGGATCAAGGACATTGAGATGAGCCACACATGTAGCACTTATGGTAGAGGCGACAAATGAAGACAGATTTTAGTAGGGAAGTCTGAAAGGATAAATCGCTTGGGAGAATATTAAAATTGAAGAGTTCTGTCTGTGGCATATAACGCCGTGTAAGTCAACCGACGTTTCGCAGAAACATATCGCCTCCATCTTCATGGTAGAGGAATAAGCCAAGCAAGAATCCAGCATGAAGCGGTGGCCTTATATCCGGGAAGATGTGACACTTCATACCGCTGTGAGAACTTCGAGTCCTATGATATTAAAATTGATCTTGGAATATGATCTAGGCTGTGAATGTTGTGAACACCTACAGATTTCTTTTGAAGTATGAGCCACTGTCAGTTTCTCAGAATGGACTTTCACACACATAAGTATTGCTGTGAACGAACAGTATAAATTTGTTTGACAGTCTAGTTTTTAAAAGAAAGTTTAATATAGAGAATGTTGTAACTTATCTTTATGTTGTAATTAGCTCTTTAAAGTTTAACGGTCGCTGTACATACCACCTGCTTTTAACATTCAGAGAATTGTACATCTTATTCAGTTTATTTGTGTGTTCCACATAATTTTCACAATAAACAGCTTTAACCGGTTGGGCTTTGTTATGGAGACGTAATGTGTTTCCTGTGAGGTACGGAATGAATTTATATATACTGAATTCTGTCCACACAGTGTATTTATACGTTCCGTATGGTTCTCACAATAAACAGCGATTATTTCCCTAAACAGCATTAACCGGTTGGGCTTTGTTATGGAGACGTAATGTGTTTCCTGTGAGGTACAGAATGAATTTATATATACTGAATTCTGTCCACACAGTGTATTTATACGTTCCGTATGGTTCTCACAATAAACAGCGATTATTTCCCTAAACAGCATTAACTGGTTGGTCTTTGTAGCGGAGACGTAATGTGTTTCCTGTGAGGTACAGAATGAATTTATATATACTGAATTCTGTCCACACAGTGTATTTATACGTTCCGTATGGTTCTCACAATAAACAGCGATTATTTCCCTGAACAGCATTAACCGGTTGGGCTTTGTTATGGAGACGTAATGTGTTTCTTGTGAGGTAGCAATTGAATTTATATATACTGCATTCTACCCACACAGTGCATTTATGTGTTCCGTATGGTTCTCACAACAAACAGCGTTTATTTCCCTAAACAGCATTAACCGGTTGGGCTTTGTTATGGAGACGTAATGTGTTTCCTGTGAGGTACAGAATGAATTTATATATACTGAATTCTGTCCACACAGTGTATTTATACGTTCCGTATGGTTCTCACAATAAACAGCGATTATTTCCCTAAACAGCATTAACTGGTTGGTCTTTGTAGCGGAGACGTAATGTGTTTCCTGTGAGGTACGAACTGAATTTATATATACTGCATTCTGCCCACACAGTGTATTTGTGCGTTCCGTATGCTTCTCACAATAAACAGCGATTATTTCCCTGAACAGCATTAACCGGTTGGGCTTTGTTATGGAGACGTAATGTGCTTCCTGTGTGGTACGAACTGGATTTGTATATTTAGATAAATTTCTGGCTTCAGATGGTTATATGAGTAGAGGGTACTGTATGTTTATGTGCCGAATATTGCCGTAAGAGGGACAAAATCCTTGTCACCGGCCAACCCTTCTGTGATTGAGGTGGGTCAGGATCTGTGTGATTTTGCCCGGATTGGAGGAACCATTATATATATAGCTGAAGGGTTGATGTGGAGATGACAGGGCTGGGGTTCTACGGGAGCACTTCTCCCCTCCATAATTAACACTCGCAGTGGGGGCATGTTCCACAAGGTGGCGCTGATGGGTTGAACCAACAGGGGGTCTCAAAATGTTTCTATCCATGTTATTTTAATAGACTGTAACAGCGGGGAATATGGCAGCCATTGATCTAAATTCAGACATGCAGTAAATTTAGGAAACTTCGGCATAAAGCTTCTACAAAGATCTATCTACGTAACTAACTAACTAACTCCATGGAGCTGAGTCCTTCTTGTTGAACCGAGAGTTGTTCAGGCACTCGACAAATTTCACGCTTTTTATGGAATTTGATTTTCGTTACGTTGCTCACAAGAGCCTTCCATTGGCCCCTTTAATGTGCCAAATGAATATAGTCCACACACTGCGTCCTCATTCTTTAACATCCATTTTAATATTATCCTCGCATCTAAGTCTGTGTCTTCCTAGTGGCCCTTTTCATTTTCATTTTCATTAACTCCGTATAAAATCCTGTCAGGTTCACGCTACATGCCCTGTCCATCTCATTCTCCTCTACTTGATCAATGCAAAAAAAAATTGAGTGGATTAGTACAATTTATGAAGCTCCTTGTTTCGTAATTTTCTCCAGCTTCCCATTATTTCATCCCCCTTAGGAAAAAATATTCCAGCATTTTATGAAATCTGAAGATTTACTGCCGAGTTCATGACAGCTTACAGTTGTTACCTATCCTGAGCCAGATTAATCCAGCCCAAACCCTGTCATCCTGTTTCATTAATATGTATTTTAATGTTATTACGTCATTTACATCCACGGAAAATTTGGTAGGCCCCCGAGGCGGTATGGACGCTTTGGAGATAAGAAAGTTTCTTGCCCTGCCTGGAATCGAACTCCGATTCTTTGGTCATCGAGACCATAACCTAGACGATATAGAAGCTGTCGCCCTTGTGAAGACTGAGTCAGTGAGAAGCATTGGAAGATTGGCTTCACGGGGCCACAGTATTGGCTTGACCGGTTTGATCGCTTTTACACTGTAATGGCAGGTATTTTCAAAATTTCTAGATAAATATTTTACGATCCTCTGCTCAAGAAATTGATTTCTCGGGAACCATCAATCCTATGTGTTAAATTTTAATAAATCCGGCCGAATTCAGACCTTTCCAGGTTTCTCTTTCGGCTTGAATTTAAAGAAGATGTCTCAAAATGACCTCACGAGACCGGAAGTAAGTGCTTGGTCCGTCTTTAGACACGCCACTTAATGCCTGGAATTTTAGGCACAGCCCCTAGCAAGGTAAACACCCGATTAGTCACCTAATTAATTAACTAAACACCATGTCTTAAAGACGTATGTGGAGTGAAGGTATTCTTAACTTCGACACTAGACGGACGTAAGCGGGCAGCTTCACGTTTCAGCCACTTAACCCCCACGGGAAAAGTTGGAGGGAAGAGAAGAACGTACTGCTCCTCCCGGGAATCGAACCCCTATTTGTTGACCATCCAACTTGTAGCCTAGTTTCCATATCGACTGAGCTATCGAGGACTCAGGACAGAAACAAAAACAGAAAAAATTACAGGCATGAAACCGTGATTCAGAGCCGTGTTCTTCTTGCGAGTCCTCCTGCATAGGACCGCATAGCAAACCTCTTCTATTCAGCATAGCTGAGTAACCTAGCAACTAGCGAGTGTTTTATAACAATGGGTTCCTTATTGTTGTCACGTTCTTAAGGGGAAAGATGTTCGCATAGAAATGGTAATTCTTCTATTGTTGCCTACATTTGTTGCCGTGAGAATGTTTACGGACAGTCCTCTATTGTTATAGAAACGGCCCATACGTCACAATAAGTATAAGGAAATGATAGAATTAAGATTAGTAGGGGAAAACCGAACACATTTGGAGGCAAACCTGACCCAGAGCCACTTTATGTCACATGAATTGGCCGGATATTGAAACTGAGACTTAGAGAGAAGGTAACCTATAAATTCTTTAGATGTGGCGCCACCAACATGACTGTATACCCCTGTTTATTGGTCCATTTTATGAAAACGAGGTCTCAAAGTTCAAAATGAATGCAACATGAAATATGTATTCAATGAAGTTAAAGGATTTTTTTCTAACTGGTTGAGCAGTAAATTAAATATACATGAAAATTCGTTCAGGCCAACTGCTGAACAGGGAACTTCGTTGGTATAATCTCATTAGAGACATTGAAAGCATAACTACCGAGCGGGTTAGTAGAGCAGTAACCCTCTTGACTGGTATTCGGGAAGCTCTCATTTAGAATTTCGGCCGAGAAACCAGCTATCCTGACTGACATCCTTCATTATTTTCCTCAGTCTCTTCAGGCGAACACCATAATTATACCTCAGATCATTACGCGATGTCCTCATTACGTGCGCCACCTTGTGTTGTCAAGGAAGCCACGGACAACGAGGCGTCCCATAATTCGAACCCGTCACTAAATATTGTAGGAAGAGAGACGCGCAGGGCATGTAGCACGCATACAGCAATACAGAAATACATATTCGTTTCTTTGTTCGCGAAAGACGTATTGGAAGACGTAAGCGAGGCAGTGGGCGCCAAAGCTTTTCAATACTGAAACGAAAAGACGTCCTGTTGATACCACTGTCTAATCACGTGAAGGCCCCTTGCACGACAGAACCTTCTCAAATCCTGAAGAAATGGTCCGATCACCTTGTCCCTGTAGCGTTCTTCGGTGAGGGTAAGAACATTGCCTTCCTCATCCTCAATGAAATAGGGGCCTAATATACCGTGAGCTGAGACGGCACACCATATCGTCACACGTGAACGGTGTAGCGGTTTCTGGACCATAACATCTGGCCGCTCAAAACCAAGGAAGCGAGTTGTCTGGCGACCACTTCCGTATGAACGGAAATAATACTCAACTATGAATATATTTTCCTCCGTCGAGAGACCCATTTGCAAAAACAAATGCACAACACAACTTCCTTTTCACTACTGGGAACACGTGCGGCTGGAGCTATGCCCCGTCGACAAATGCACATGCGCGTTCGAGATGCGCGAGTTTCAGTACTGCATTTTTGGCGCAGCCTGTATCAAGATGATAAAATTGTGAGAGATTGGGTCATTTCTAGGAAACGAATACGTAAACATGTTTCAACCAACGAGCATCCAACAATAGAAAGGCGTCCAATGCTAGGTAACAGACCGGTAAACACATATCTCAGCAACGAATGCGCAACAGTAGGGCGTCCATTGCTAGGCAATTCATGGGCTGAAACGCCTGAAAACAATAAATGATATCCGTTACTGAGCAGCGATGTGTTTTCTGTGGGAAGTCCGTGCTTGCCTATATAGGGAGCAGTGAACCCTGTTCGAGATATTCGACAGGAAGACGTCGATCAAGGCAGTTCAGCAGCTGAGATGATATGAGTTCAAGGCAACTGAGAGACTAGTGACTTCTATACGGTTCAAGAGAAGACTGACAGACAGAGTACAATAGCAGAGCTCCTGAGGCTATAAATGAAGGTTAGAATTGAAGTGCGAAGACCCTACTTTATGTGTTATTGTTTCTGTAATAATTTCAAGTGTAATAACGAGTTGTAGTTACGACGTGGAAATTATCGAATAAATCGAGTTATCAATTCCGGAACCAATTATTTTCTGTTACCTTACCGGATACACGTGACAATATGTACCTGTATAGCGGTAGAGTGATCCTGGGATTATCTGCCTCAAGATAAAGACCAGTGGTGGGCTTTTGTGAACACGACAATGAACTTCTTAGGTTCCATAAAAGAGGGAGATTATTTTGAGTAGCTAAGCTAATATTAGCTTCATAAAGACTGTAAGTTTATATTTAATTAGTTAGTCTGTCAGTTCCATGCATAATTGGTTTAAAGTTCCTACCTGTCGATACTGCATTTCTATATCGTTGAGAGCATCGTTAAACAACCCAGGTATCAAAATTATTGTCTCGTGTTGTCCGATAGAAGAGTAAAAACGTTTTGGAGGAACGCGCTTGGGAGAGAAATATGTCCTCAGTTTTGAAGATAGAGGCAGAAGGTTCTCCTGAAACGTCAATACATTTTTATCAAATTATACTGCGTTACGTCCAGACGCCTGTGACTCGTCGCCGTCCTTAGGACCTCAAATCTGAACACAAATACCATCAATCAAATTTGTTATTGAAGATATAAATAATTTTCACCATCCTATTTTATGTGAGACGCCTATGAGGGTGAGTCATCATCATGTAGTGAGATAGGTCGCTACGTCATTAGTACAAAGTTTCTCTTTATTGCTAGTGGGGTGGGACTAAGTCCCTTGTACTGCGGCCACTTCTGTCCTATTGTACCAGCCCCAGATGATAGGTGAGGGTGATTGTGGAGCATTTGGTGGAATGAAGATTGGCAGGGGAAACCGAAGTACTCGGAGAAAACCTGCCCCAGCGCCACTTTGTCCACCACAAATCCCACTTGACCAGAACCGGGATCGAACCCGTGCCGCCGCGGTGGGAAGCCAGCGACTAACCGCTGCTACTTTCAGCTCCAGGAGCCAAGATCGCAATTCAGGAGAACTCGTTGGACATATACGAAATTTTTTCTTCCGTAAGTTTGCCTACTCGAGGTAGGATGTTTTAGACAGGTTTTATAAACACCCAAACTGAAACTCTTGTTATTTCCTTACGGTTTCAACGTCCGGTGATTTTGGTGGTATAGTTGTAACGGGGCACGTTTATCATCAAAGTAATTTGAGGTCAGTCTTCCCCATTGGGAATTCTACAACAGGCAACCCCCCCGCCCAGTTCCCAATCAGATAAAAGCAATTAAGGCGAGGCTGACTCTTGGAGGCTGGACGAAATGGTTGCTCGAACCAGGAAGGTAATCACATAAGAGCGCGCGCAGACACGCGTGCATGCGGTCCGAGTTTCGAGACCTGGCGGTTCTCAGCGCAATGCGTTGGGGTTGGGTCGAGTTCACCGACGGAGACAGGGAGTGTAGGACCCTAGTTCCTGTACAACATCCCCTCAACAGTACACACAACCACTGCCCCGCTATTTCTGGGCATATTTCTCACCCACAACCCAGAAGGTGAACTTTAGTTCGATATAGGCCTACACGTGAGCCTGAGTTCAAGGGATACTTGCTTCGAAACTCGGCCGAGTAACAGCTGTTCCGACTGAGACTTCATATTTTTTTCAGTTTTGTTTAGCGTCCTCCATGCAACAATATCGAGATTTAAAATTAGTTTTATTTATTTTCGTGGGGTGGGATGAGACTGAGTCCACTTGGTTATGTAGACCGCTATTTGGCCTATTGTACCAGGCCTGCATGGTAGATGATGAGTGTGAAGTCGGTAGAATGAGAATTGGCAGGGGAATCGAAGTACTTAGAGAAAACCTGCCTCATTGCTACTTTGTCCACCACAAATCCCACTTGATGGAACCCGGGCCGCCGCGGTGGGAAGCCGGCGACTAACCGTCCGAGCTATGGCACGGTATAGATAAATCCTTTCTTAAATTCGTCACTGCACTATATGTGTCGGCCTATTCGGTTGTTGAAATTCGGGTGAATGTCTGTGCCTTCCGCGCTACAGCGATCCGTGCTTTCGTTGTTACAGTGTTTCTAAATGAAGCCAATGCACAGCATCCACACTGCACACCAGCCAGACAACAGGCATACCATAGAGACTGTACATGTAGGATAGAAGGAGGAATTATATCGACTTTATTTAGAAACATTACAAAATGAAAACAGGGATCGCGATAGCGCGGAAAGCACAGCAGTGCCCCCCCCCCCACGAATTTCAATGCTCCTGATGTTGGCCGAAGCAGGCCGAAACGTGTAGTGCAGTGACGGATTAAAAAAGAAAGGATTTAATTTTAAATCTTACATGGTGCAAGATAAAACTGAAAAATTCTAATAGCAACTGCAACAGAATGTGGGGAGGCGGTAGCGTAGTATTTTGAGGCACTATGCTACAAGTCGGGAGGTGGCGGCATCGAACCCCGTTGAGGTCACTGCGTTTTTCAATTGACTTAATCCCTTCAACTGCACTATGGCCCTGGGATCGACTCAGCCTCTAACAGAAATGAGTACCGGGATTCTTCCTTGGGATGAAGGGCGGCCGGCGCATAACGCCGACAACCTCACTGCCATCTGTGAGCCGATTGTATAGAGAATGTGGGAACGTCGACGTCTCACAACCCTGTGGGCCTCCACGGCCTGTTACACGGATAAC